CATTATTTGTGCTAGTTGCATTCGGTTTTGACGGAATTACGTTGGTGAGTTTGACTGTTTTGCGAAAGCCAAGATGATAACATGCACTTATCCTTGTAGGATATCATCGCATCGTTAGAGGACATAGGCACAGAATTATTTCTACGAGTACGTTAAGTCAGATTGGTATGAAAGAGTGACCAGCATTGCCTTGACAGTGAAATCTAATCTATTGATAGGATCAATCCAATGGTTTAAAAACCTAATCTACTGATAGGATCAATCCAGTGATTTAAAAACTAATCGATGCTGGCAATCGAAGTGCAATTAGATACTGCTCTCGATTAAGTCTAAAACCTACCCTGCCTTTACTTCACAGCTCTCCGGCTACTGGTTTTTAGTAAGTGTGGGTCCGAAAATTTCTTGTTTTTTGAATTGAGTGCATAAATTTGTTTTACACTGATCGTGAGAGATTCACAGAGGAAATGAAAAAACGTCTCCGACATCTTAGTACGCCCATCCTCCTTTGATTCAATTGATTCAACTGTTTAATTACTCGGAACAGAGAACAAGGTTCGTTATTCGGTGTAATTTGCAACGGATAATGGTGTGATGAATCTCACTAAAAGATATTCAGTGCATATCCTGAGCACATAGTGAAAAGTTGTGAGCGTGCAAACGTTGAGTGCAAAGGCATGCAATACAGACACTATCATGCAGTACGAAGAGCACGACTCAAACGAAGTACGACGACTTCCAGTGACCTATTTGACAGCTGCGGTTGAGTTCCCCTTATCTCCGATATCGTGTTCTGTTCTGGTAGGTAATGATGATGATAAACCTGTGCTTAATGACGGTTTTTTTCATAATCAGTAATAACAGCTGAGGTGATGTGTGTTCGATATGTGACGATTGGTTCGTAAATTGGAAAATGGGAGTTTAGGTGATGCATCTGAAAAATATTGTACTGTACTCCACGAGCTGATTTCGTTGAGTTTTTTTAAGCAATTCGTTCTTCTGTAAACCTTGCGAAATATGTCGTACACGGTTGATAGTTACATGTACATTCCTGAAATGCAAACTACCGTAAAAGGAAATGAACCGATATCATTTCCGTCTCGGATATGCTCTATCCCTGTAAGTACGAATATCCCGGAACACTCAGTAAGTACATCGAAAGAGGTGGACGGGACNAGAAAGTGTACTGAATTAGGTAAGGGGAAGAATATTTACGAGAAGTTTTGAAATTAGCGAAAAATTTTTTTGCAAAACACATCCGAAAACAGGTAAAAAAGAAGGGAAGTGCCAATTGCATGAAAGATAGCGTGCAAGAAAGGTGTGTGTGCGGATAAGTGATGAAAATGGAAAAAATGTGATCTACAGAATCTATAGTGCAGCCTGGAAGGCCTAGCTAACTGTGCGTCTTGAAGCAGTGGTTCTCGGTTTTTCTGACCCATCGCCTTCTCCCCGTTGAAACGTAAGGGCTAGCAAATCGTCTCTTACCGCGTCTCATTATACTACTATCCAGAGGATAGTTTTCTGAGCAACTGAGGAAACGTTGCGACAATTTGAAAAATATAACTCAAGACTCAACTGACTCAAAGAGTAACTCACATCGCAAATACCGACTCTTCTTTTTCTCCTCGTTTTTGAGAGGTTGCTCAAACGGGACATCTAAAAAAATGCATCAACAACACCGACAACAACAACACTGATAATCACGTAAACAATCACGAAAGGAAAACAGACACAATTATGAAATCAAAACAAATTTTGAAAATTCAAAAGCAAACGAATCAATCCGTCTTTCCTTATCATGCTCAGCTTTCCAGAAAGATGAATAAAATAACGCAACAAAACATGACCA